GAATTCCTTATATTTAAGTAATATATTTACACAGAGATGTCAGTTGCAGCAGTGTTGTCTGCAGCTTTCTTAAAGAAGTTACTTATTTGAGCTTTTTTCCCCCCGAGACAGGCTAGATGTGCGAGTGGTGACAACTGATGTTTCACTGGCCACAAAGGGGAGACTTTTCCAAGCTTCAAATCTAATCGAAACGCCTCAGATTTCTGCTATGACTTCAAGGACATTTCTGTGCTGTTTTAGAAGTACGAATTGCTTCTGAGATTTCTATCACCAAGAGAGCACTTTTAAACAACATATACCATTAATTCTACTATCAGGTGTCTCTATAAGGCTCTAACTAGACAAATGGCTCGACTTACAATGACAGTTACTCTGCAGCTGATAGTGAAAGGGATTTTCTCATTTTGGGGATAGATGATTCGATTTATAGCAAGTGGTTTGGGAAGAAAAATAACAACAGATAGGTCCCAGACAAGCTACGTTACAAAAATTCTCTGAGAGAAAGTCTTGCCATGCAACAGGTCAGACACAACTGGAAAAAGAGTTGGGGTATTTCACTACAGACAGGTTTAGTTCTTCACAGATAAGTTACTCATCTCAGTCCTGGATGGTAGTGCTGACATTTCTCCATTGCAAGACAAATTTCAACCTACGCTGTAGCAACCATAGGTATCTGCAACCTCAACATCACTGCAGCAGCAGTTTGTTCCTAATACACTGTTATTTGCCACTGCATTGGATCCATCCTAGGAAGCAACCTTAACACCAGCAAGATGTTATAACCTAGTGGATGTGGATACTTCCAGGTCTTCAAAGCAGAAATTCAAAATTGGGCCCGGACATACTCTCCCAATCACCAACAGGCAGATTTTCCTCAAAGCACTTTTGAAAATCTGCTGCCACCCTCCGCCACAGCGGAAGGCTGAGTGTAAAGCGCTCTTGTCATTTAATTGTCAGCTAGTCAGGTTTAGTGCCTACTGCTGTCCTTCTCTTCATGTTTATGTAGTTTCATTTTTTTAAGAGTAGGATGTTTGTTTTGAAAGATGAACAAAAAATAAGGTCTAAGAAAAAAAAAATCTGGAGAATCCTGATCACAACATGGTTATTGCCAAGGAAGGGAATCTCGGTTGATCTATGCTGTCCAGATAGGACTGCACGGTTTTAATTGGGTATGCAGTTTGGGTGCAATCAACAAAAATCACCTTCAATAAAGCAAGCTATTAAGTCTCCTGATTCTAATTTGAGATAGCCAGGCATTAATTAATGAACTAATCCCGGTGCTCTGCTTAAACTGGTTCATCCAAAGTCCAGCGGTCCTTGCTTATGCTTCTTTGCAAGCCTGGGACCTGATGGATTTATTAAAGAGAAAAATCTGCAAGATGCCCCTTCCTTTCCCAAGGCCCTCCCTGCCTTGGGATGATATTTTCAAAGCTTAACAGCAGCAGTAATGAACGCCCCGTGCGTGCTTAGAGATCATTATTTGCACTTTCCAATCTATTTCTCTAAGGTTTGCCATCTGATGCCCATCTTACATCTAGCCTCTGTCTGCTGGGAGAATGAACACAACAAATCACAAGGGAAAAGTTCAGCTCAAGAACATATGTTTCGGCAAACAGAATGTATCCTCTCTCCAACAGCTGCTTCTCTCTGCTGCATTTTTGGGTTTGTTTGTTTGTTTTTCCTTACTTTGAATTGAAAACCATATTTTTGCTCTTGTAAGAGGTCACAGAGGCCCGGTTTGAAAGCAAACTCCGTGCTCAGTGTTCGTGTCCGAAGCAATAAAATGCACCTCCTCACTAACACCTTGATAACTGGCAGAGAGCTGGAGCTGGCAGCTGGAATTGGCCTTGCTGCTCTAAAAGGCAGGATGATAGGTCACGGATCAGGTGAGAAGTCCTCTTTTCAGGGGGAAATGAGAAAGGACCTCATTTTTGGAAATGCTGAAATATGTCAATGCACTGGGATTTACCATTTACTGGACTGAGAGTAATTTGGTGCAGGACTGCGCACAAAATCCATGGAAAAAGGTGCATGCACTTGTGCTTGTAAAAGCTATGTATGGGCATAATATATTAACCACTTACTTGGCCTGTTACTAAGAAAAAGCAACTTTGGCTCGTGACACCCAGGACTGGGTGGCAGTGACTTCTGAGTGCTTGTCTCGGCTTTAAGAGACCCTGTCCCTGGTCTCAAGCAAAGTATTTGATAATTCTGTTTCTCAACTTCTATAAAATAAACCTGCTAATGGTGTCCAGAGGTCTCCCAAGGTTTAATTTACCTCTGTCTGAAAATTCTTTGAGCTTCTATGTTGAGGATGTCCTAAAAATATCTAGCAAAGACTATATAGCTGGGTCTAATGCAAAGGGATGTAATGACCTCTTTTTTTTTTTTTTTTTTTAATAAATGCTCATGTGGCATACCAGGAATTATCCAGTGTTCAGACTTTTATTTCATTAAAGGCCCTAACACATGGTGTTCTAAAATAATGACAGAAATAGTTGTAGCCATATTGCTTATCTCAGAAATCCGATGTTTCTGGAGAGAATGCCAAATGCTAGGCATATTTCTCCGTTGCTCTGACTGCGATGTCTTATGAAGTACGAGATCATCTCTCCCGAGGGACATAACACGATCCAGCAAAGCGCCGAGTGCTCTTGGTTGCTACAAGATTTCTATGACAGATTTCTATGGTTGAAAACAGCCAAAAGTGTAGGAAAAATAAAAAATAAAAGAACTAAACTGTGTGTCCTACATTATTGGTATCTGCTTACAACCGAAAGTAAAACACAAGGCTGAACAAGAGGAGGAGGGAAAACTTGTCAAAATTTGAAAAATCTGCTCAATGAGAGAAAAAGAAAAGCTTTTTTTGAAATTCAAAAATAGAAGAATTTAACTCTGACCCTAATCTATGTTGAGACTGTATATGACATTATTACAGACTTCCATATGTTTTTCTAGAGGCATTGAAAGGGATGAGAACATTTAGGCGCAAGGAAATGTAATTATTTGCAATTGAAATAGTATAGCAATCAGTTTATGCATATTGTCTTCCTGTTGAATTAACATTATTCTACTGAATTAAATTTTCACATGCTATTGTACTTTCAGAGGTAGCCATATGTTTTTCACATTTTGTTTCGCATGCTACTTTTTTTAATCATTAGAACTTAATGACATAAAAATTGCTATCTGAGCTGACACAATTATTCCCTCTTGATGACAGCCTTTAAGTAGATGCACAATTTGACAGATGAGTGCTGAAACTGTGCTTGATACAGACTTAAAAAAAAATTCTTCCTGAAAAACTTTGAGAACAAGTCTACAGAGGAACAATTTGTCTGCTCTATAATTTATTTTCTTTTCTTCTTTCTTTTTTTCTTTTTTTTTTTTTTATCTCTAGAAACATTTGTACGAAAACAGGAATTTAGTTGTTCAGGAACTCATTTACTCCTGCTGTGCAGTCACCATAGGAAATCATAACCCTCTCTTTTAATAGCAAATTAGGACTAGGTAGCAGCATAGATCAAACAAACATTAGGAGATCTTAGAAGCATATTAGGTTTAATGCTAGATTAGATTTACAAGGATGGATTTAACTGGAAAAGAATGCAGAGGATTTCAAAATCAGGAAAATTCACTCGATACATAGTTTTGGCTTAAAATGAGGAAAGTGTTGTGAAGGCTGAGCAGTTTAGCAGCAGGTGCATCACAGAATAGCGATACAGAGATGACAGCAGACAGAAAAAAAAAAAAAGTATTTCTGGAGTTTCCTACAGTTTTGACAGGGAAAAAGCCATCCGTGCAAGATCTCTGTCCTTCTGCACAGAGCTCTCACAGAAACAGATATTCCTGGAAAATTTCAGCAGTATGTAATGCAGGCCGGGGCGAGAGATTCCTTTCTGTTTTGAAGCACTAGCTGGGATCCAGATGGAAATATAAATTTGTGCTCAGGAATTCATATCCAACACTCTTACCCCCAAAGCTGCCAAGAATTCAGAGTGAAATTTTGGGTTAAATCCATTTCTCCTGTTCACTAAATGTTAGATTAACCAGCTATAGGTGTAAGCATCACATCAGGCCCCAAACAATTACGCAAGTTAATTCTTTAGGTATCAAAGGTACAGAAAATTTTCCATTTTGAAAATTTCTTCTTTTTCCCCTTCTAACTTTTGATTACCAGCATAATTTACACGAAAACCTCTTTTTGCTTGTGAGCTTCTGCCCCCACTGTTTTATTATTCACCTGAATAGTCATTCCGTACTTATGATATCATTGTTATTTGCTATGGAAATTATTTTAATGTTACAAGAAGGATTAAGATATGAAGTGAAGAGTGAGCAATAGGAAAAACCTGATCACCTAAGCAACAGAAGTCCTGTTTCATACTTGTATGTCTAATAATACCCAACAAGGTGAAAAAAAAATAAAAAATAAAGAAAAACACATCAGGAGGGGAATGATACATACTCTTTTTTCCTGAATGACTTTATCTTGTAATATACCTTAAATGACTTGCAAAGCTGGTGGGTTCTGCATTTTTAAGCATTTAAGGCATGATTATTTTCTAAGCATCAATGACAGGTTCAAATAAAAAGATCATGTTGTGACAAGGATTAGCTCAGTGCATCATTTGCGATCCTTTCCAAGTGCAATCCCGCAATTTGGGAGCTTCTTTGGAGGGATAACAAGAATGGGAAGAGCCTCACGGACAACCGGGTGGCCGACGCCATGGCAATGGGGCAGTTCAGTGTCAGATCTGTCAACCGAGCTGTCTCTAATCTCGTTGTTTAGGCTCCAGAAAGGAGCCTAAAATGTGTATTTTCACCCCAAATCCAGTCCAGCTGTTGCCTGCCCCTGAGGTAAACCCATCTCCAAATTCGCTCGAGCTCCAGAAAGGAGCCTAAAATGGGTATTTTCACCCCAAATCCAGTCCAGCTGTGTCCTGCCCCTGAGGTAAACCCGGCTCCAAATTCGCTCGAGCTCCAGAAAGGAGCCTAAAATGGGTATTTTCACCCCAAATCCAGTCCAGCTGTGTCCTGCCCCTGAGGTAAACCCGGCTCCAAATTCGCTCGAGCTCCAGAAAGGAGCCTAAAAAAACCTGTTTCCAGCTGATCCACAGCCTGCCCCTGAGGTAAACCCGGCTCCAAATTCGCTCTGGTCCCAGAAAGGAGCCTAAAAAAAGCTGTTTCCAGCCGAGCCACAGCCTGCCCCTGAGGTAAACCCGGCTCCAAATTCGCTCGAGCTCCGGAAAGGAACCCAAAAAGGCTATTTTCACCCCAAACCGCCCCCCGCCGCCTCATCCCGTATCGCCCCCAGAACA